GTTTAACAACAAGTTAAAGCTTAGAATGGTCTATTCTTTCATTGGGGTGTGTGTCTATGAGCCAGACTAGTTTCGGAGAAGTGAAATATCAGACCAAACCAAGCCTTCATACTAGTGAGGTATCGAAAATGATTTATAACTTGAAGTGATTTTAATAACCAAACCAAAATTAATCTTCTTACATACAAAATAGCTTGACTGTGCAAAGAAATTTTATTTTTCTTAACAAAATTAAACAAAAACTATGAAACTAGTGCTTGTGACAGATGGATTTGTCATATTTATCTATAAATAGGATAGGTTTACCTGTCAATAGTTCAAGTATTTCATTAGTTTTTTTTTAATGGGATTTGCCATACTTTTTTATCCTAATTTATGTAAATATGTTTTATTATTCTGTGTTGACCTAAGAAATTATAAACTACTTACTATTTAATTACATGACATTGTTGAACTGTTTTAACTTGTTCAATATTATAATTTTAATTCAGTATTTAATCATATTATAGACATTACATATTTGATTTATTTTAACTTGATGTTTCATGGCTGCAAGCCATTTGTCTTAGCTTTTTCATGAACCAGAGAAACAATTATCCTAGTGTATATATATATATATATGGTTTATTTGCTTTGTACCAAAGCATAGCCTACGATGGTGTTTAGTGTTATTAAAAGGATGTTTGTTCTATAAATATAGGGATACTAATGGAGTAGCAAAGGAGAAAAGTTATGTTTGTGACATTATTCCTGCGTATCGGATATCAGAATTCAAGACTCACTTTAGAATGTCGGCAGCTACAGTTGAGGTATACTTTAAGACTCTTCTCTAATTCTTGTTTTTTTCAAATGTATTCATTTTAGTGATTTAGGACTTTTAGAATTTGGAACTTGCAGTTTATATACATTGTTGTGTATATTTTTTTACATGTCTAAACCACTGCTTGATAAGGTTTTAAAATATTTACATATACCACTTTCTAAAGTTGGTTGGAGTTTAGTGGTGCAAAGACCTTCTGAAATAATTTTGGTTTGCTCCTTTCTCATTTTACACAGTCAGCATTATGATGTTACAAGGTTAAAAAGTATTCGATAAAAGTAGTCTGCTAAGAATGTACAAACTGTAATATGCAAAATCTTTTACACTCTTGGGTTCTATTCTTTACCTTGTTGGTGTATACATCTAGAAAAATACTATTTAATGGTTAGCAAATGAAATCCTCTTAAGAGCTTGCGAGTTGGGTAAAATGATTGATAAAAATTTTGTTTATTTCTTTACATATCAACTGATTTGTTTGGGTGAGGAGATATTACTTAGCAATTACAAAGATAAATTTTTTAAGAACTCCAATAATGAGTCCCTCATAAGATGTAATATTATTAAAATACCGACTGATTTTTTTTGTATTTGACATTTCAGAGGGGGAAGTGGTAGCAGAGCAAGTTTCAATTCTTTTGCTTGAATCTTGGTCTCTATTTCAGAGATTTATTATAATTATAAATTATTTGACTTTTGGAACGAATATTATTAGGGATCTATCACAGCAGTACATTTGAAAAATTATTTTTGAAATTCTAAAATAAGCCAGCCTAAGAATTCAGTGCTTGAATATACCAATCTGATGTGGTGTTTCCACAAGATATAAAAGGACATTATCAGAAACTTCTATACTGTCCAAAACCGTAAAATATGTAGATTTAATGGAAGTTAGTTTTCTGAGTGATAAGCTAAACAGGTTATTTTGTCAAAACAAGACAGTTGAAGTGCGTGTCTATTATCATTCCCAAAATGTTATTTAAAAGTTGTTGATAAAGTAATATATCCTCTGTATCAGATATGACAATGTACCACTGAGTGGACTTACCATGTTTAAAAACAAGTTCACAAGTTATGCCACTGGTTTGTAAAATATTACTGGATGTTTTTGTTGTCAGAAATGGCTGAATGGTGGGACATCTACTCATTTAGCCATCTTTGTTGGTCTTCTGTTGTTATATGTTTTTGATTTCCTACATTTATAACAACTTAACCATTACTGTACCTCTTGAGTTGTCATTTTTCTTTTGAGAAACTTTCAGTAAATGTACATTATAAACTGATTTTCATGCTGTAATTCTTGCCGATACCTTTTCCCTACAATTTTATTGTCTTTTTTTAATTATTTGCAAACTACAGTTGTCAAGTTAGGGATAACAGTAAATATAACTATCATAGAACAGTGATCTTACTCACTCCTTAGTAGCATCTTTCTTTCCCAATCTCTGTTTAGTCAGTTTTCTATCTTTCTGCTATAGACTATATAGGTGCTGTCCTTGTCATCATTCCAATTCCTGATATAATACTGGTAAGTGACATTTTAGGAGTGTGCGTGTGTGTGTGTGTGTGTGTGTGCCTTGTCTCCCAAGCTTAATTATTTTAGTTTTGAGGCATGATTTGCCAGAAATTGTTTTTTGCTAGTGCTGTTGTTGTTCTTTTTCTCTGCTATGTGCTTTGTTTGTTTGTTTTTTACTTAGAGCTTAAGGTCAGTAATGTTTTTCTTTCACCCAATTGATCTGAAACTTGAATGACTTCTCATTCAGCATTCATATTTGCTTTCAGGTTTCAGTTATGGAATTCTGTCACATGCTTGTTTGGTGAGAATAAAGTTCTGTTGAGATGGGTATGTTAAAGAATTTTTGCACTTCAGCATTAGTAGTGGTTCTTGAGCTCTACTTTTTTGAGGCTCAAATTTCTGATTTTCTAAGTTGTGTGATTAGTTCTTCAAGGTATTAATTTAGGTTATGCCTTGGCTGTTGATACACCTGCCTCTGTATGCCACTGGACAATGGAAGTAATCATTCCTGTATATAGATAGACCTCTGTTTGTTGTGCTTCTCATCCTTAGTAAAGAAGAATGTTGCCCTCCACTTGTTGCTAAATCCCTCTTTGTCGTAGGTATTATACGATTGGTTGTTTGGAGTTTAATGGCACAAAGCTCATTTAGAAATACAGCAACATGAGGCCTTAAAGTATAAATAAAATATTGTTGTTTGATATACTGGGAGGAATAGGAAAATGTATCTGATTTAAAGATGCATTTTGAGAATATACTGTAGGAATATTTCTTAACTTGTAAAAGAAAAAAGTTCAAGGATCAAAGTTTTATAAAATCATCATAATAGCTACTTTATATACAATTTAATATTAATACAAGTAGATACTTTAGGCCAAGGTACTGCCCTAGAAATGGCAAAGTTTTTTCATGTTATTGATATAGTATGCACAATTAATTTCACAAATGTTTAATATACAATAGGCATTTTATCAAAACTTGCTTATTAGTATTTATACCTTGCAAGTTTAATTAAGACTGTAGTAAAATTTTGCACATCTGTCATGCTCGTTAAGTACATAGATGATATTTGTACTGAATTTAAGGTTTTCCAGACACAGCTGTAGCTAATTCTAGAAAAAAAGCTCTTCTAGCATTATTAATTTAGCATTTAAGTTTAAAGTTTTCAATAAAATGGTCGCTTTCAACTTTGAAGTTATTTGGAAATGAAACGTTTTTAAGTTATGATATTTACTACTCTTAGCTTGTTAAATGCAGTTGAATTTGTTTAACATTACAAGACTTTATAGATAAAGCTCATAAATGCACTTGTAGTTTGCACAACTTATGCAAATAAAACAAAATTGAATTTTGGTGCAGACAGCCTTGTTGCTATGCACCACTAAACCCCAATCAATCATTCAATTCTGTGGGAAAGTCAACAATATTCTCTTACTGATTTTGGGTTTAGAAGTTTTACAAAGTCTCACAACCTTCGAAAAACTTATGTCTACAATATTTTTTTTTTGATATTGTTTAAGGCAGCATTTCCCAACCGGTGGTTTGA